AGGGAGATGTTGAGCTTCCTGTGAGATGGCAAGTGGTGGGGAGGAGAGGCCACCCGATTGTACTGACTGCCCTTGCCCTCCCAGTGCCCCTGTGGGTGGCAGCACCTTGGGGGAAATGGCTATGGGATGGGAAAAAGATCTCTAGGTCCAAGGGTGGCAGAGAATGGGAGGGTCTGGAGATTTCAAAGGACTGCATGGCTCAGTGAGCGTCTGTGGGATCCAGTGTGAATCTGAGTTCTGCTCCAAATAGTCTGGGACTGTGAAAGACTCTTGGGAGCTTTGCACAACCCAAGAGGCAAAGGGAAGTAGATTCAAGTATGAACAAGGTTGACTTTTTTTTTTTGCAAGCCCAGTAGGGTAGGGGCTCTGAATAAGATTTAAATGACTAAAGAGCTATAGTCATTTAATTCCTATACATGATATAGAGGTGAAGGCAATAGTACCCTGGCTCTCAGGGATTTGACGTCTGATTGAAAACTTCCCCAGCCCTCACTGCCCATCATTCTTTGAGGACATTCTGAGTAATTCTGTACCATCATTATCTTTTGATTTGATCTCCACAACTGCATAAAGGTGCTAGAGTCCATTTTGTAGATAGGAAAACAGAATGGTTTAGCAACTTGCCCATGGCCTAAAAGTATCCAGCACTAGAATATAGGATGCCCAACTCTGTAAGTCTTGTTCTTTCCAGTGCACCAAGCAGCCCTGCTTATAGATGGGAAAATGGTTGGGCCAAGGGCAGCCGACTGCTATCAGAAGGACCTTGTGATTCTGAACAAGCATTTCATCTGTTACAGGGTTTGTGTCCTCATTTGTAAAAGGAGAAAGCTACTTCAGTAGGCAAAGAGGACTTCATGTGTTTTGTATTAAACAAAGTGGTAGGCAGACATTTTTTTGGCTAACTCTTTGACAGCACACTGCCCTAGATATTAGGGAGCCACCCATAACTGGTACAGTGATGACAGGTTATTTAGGAAGTTAGGTTAATTCACTATGTGTGGGGGTGATGTCAGGTGGGAGGTTAGAGAGGCAGGGTATCCACTCACAGTGGCTGCAACATAGGTAATGAAGAATCCATTTACGTAGGATTCATCTTGTGGGACAGGCAGTGGGGGACAGGGAGAGAAATAGGGAGAGAAATAGGACGAGGTTGAAAAACACAAAGTACTACATTCAGAGATAACTTGTCACTTTCAGGGAAATGATTGTTTAAACTACATGTTCCTTGCATTGGATTAAAAGTAACTATATTTATTTGATCCTCCTGCAACCAATTTCCATAAAAGAGTAGATATTAAAAAAAATTTTAAAAGAAATGGACTAGTTAAATGATTGCTTCTTAAAAGCTTTCTCTCTCAAAGGAGGGACACTGAACACTGTAGATCAGGATAATAATAAAGACCATTGTCAGGGGGCAAGAACACCTTCAAGTAATAGCTAGTATTCCTCTAAGCAGGAAGTTAGACTTCTCAGCACCCAGTGTTTTCAGCTTTTAAGTATCTTTGTAAGATTAATAGTACAAGAGTTTTGCAAGCAAAGCAGTCTGCTGAACTGGAAAATCTTAGCTAAGGCGAGCTGACAGAAAGCATCAGGCTTTGCAAAGTGTATTCTTTTCTGCTCCAACTCAGCCACGCAAATTTGTATCTTCAAGAAGGAATAAAATAGGGTTGGGGCTGTGGTTCAGGGGTAGTGCACTTACCTGGCATGTGTGAGGCACTGGGTTCGATTCTCAGCACCACATATAAATAAATGAAATAAACATCTATCAACAACTAAAAAGCATTAAAAAAAAAAAAGAAGGAATAAAATATTTTTCTCCTGGCTTTTGCTTTAGAGAAACAAGAAAAAAATGTCCTAATGGGAAACATCTTCAGCGAGTTTTCCAGCCACATGTTCATTTACTTCTAGGCATTTCTGGTATCAGACAGAAATGCCACAGAGCCTTTTATAAGAAAAGGGCAGATGAGTGCTGGGCACAGTAGCGCGTGCTTGTGATCTCAGCAGCTTGCAAGGTTGAGGCAGGAGGATCATGAGTTCAAAGCCAGCCTTAACAACTCAGTGAGACCCTAAGCAACTTAGTAAGACGCCGTCTCTAAATAAAAAATAAAGGGCTGAAGATGTGGCTCAGTGGTTAAGCACCCCTGGGTTCAAACCCTGGTACCAAAGACAGATAAAAAAGGAGTGGCAGCCCTTCAGAAGTACTGCACTTAAAAGGAAAGGCATCAACTGAGGTGGTGACTGTTCTGAGTCAGGCCTGGCCTCTGTGCTCTCTAGGAATAATTCAGGTATGAACAGGTGGGTGGGAAATTTGGTCCAAGTTAAAGCCACTTAAAAAAAATTGTCTATGGGGCTTAGGAACACACACCTGTACTCCAGTCATTAGTGGTATAGCACCCCTGAGTACTGTGGGAAAAATTGGTGGATTGTTCATGATTTTTTTTTTTTGGGTACCAGGGATTGAACCCAGGGGTACTTAACCACTGAGCCACATCCCCAGCCTCCTCACCCCCTTTTTTGAGACCCCCTTAGCCTCCCCAAATTGCTTAGGGCTAAATTGCGGAGGTTGGCTTTGAACTTGCAATCCTCCTGCCTCAGCCTCCTGAGCTGCTAGGATTACAGGTGTGTACCACCGTATCTGGCCACATGATTTTTGAACACTGGGTAATAGTATGTTAGCACCTTTTTTGTTTTATCATGGGCTTTAAGACATCATGAAAAATACTTGTCAATACCAAAGATTTCATAATCACCAGTCCCAAACTGCCTCTGTGGTTATTGTTCTAATACAAACAACTGTAGGCACAACCATTTAGATATTTAATTTATTATTAAATTACATAACAAAGCTTCTTCTATACAGTCAGAAAATGCACATTTAGATGAGAACAAAAATTAAGTACAAATACAATAAAATTGGTTCCAAGAAGCTATTTTAAAAGCAAAAAATTAGAAAGTGCATTTGGAAAAGAATAGATTTTAAAAAATCTGTATTGGCATTTTTCATGAGAAAACATCTTCCATCATAGTAAAGTGTAATTGGAATTGATTTCCCCCTCTCAAGGAGCAAACAGGATGGAAATGGATGAAATAATTTGATACTAACATCAGATCTTAGGTTAGATACAAAGAAAATGAGAAAGATCCCTTAAGACATGGCTCAGTTTTGTCTCAGCTTCTTACCCAATAAACATTCTTAAAATTTACTTGTTCCTTCCTCATTTTCTTTCTCCCTATGAAACTTTAGGGTATATAGATTTATTAAGGAATAAACAAGATTAGTTTGTTAAGATGATGAAAAGTTATGCATCATTTTGGAGACCAGGCTACATAACTTCTGGTCTAAAAGGAGAATGAAACAGTCATTGTAATCTGAGCAGAATCCATTTGTTCTTTAGTTATTTTTGCCACCAAACTCAGGGTAACACTGGACATGGTCAGTTATCCTCAACAGCTTACTTTAATATTACAAGTTAGAAAACGCAAATCAATTTCCAGAAATTATATCTAGCTAACGAGGAAACACAAGTTCCTAAAAGTCATTTCCATCGAGTTGGGATCATTAACAGTGAAACATAAAATTCATGGGTGGGGGAATGAAAATGTAAGGTGCGTCAATTTCACAGGGGCTGAGTTTTGTATCAAAAGGCCTAGTAAATGTCTTTTTATTCTCTTCAGATGTGTTTACAGCCAAAATGAGAGAACTAAGTAAATATTATTTGGCTCCAGGTACAGAAAGTACCCTCAAGGTGTCTCCTCATCTGTTTCCTTTCTCAGGAGTTTACCCCCACGTTTGGTCTGAGTATGGGGCAGTATGGAAAAAGCCATTATCTTAGAAAGTGAATTTTAGTAAAAGAAAAAAGGAATAGTGGAGAAGGAAAGCCCTTTTCAACATTGGAAAAATTAAAAAGTGAGCAATGCAGGTTACAGGGAGTCCTCCAGCATCATTAAATAATAACAAAAAGAATGTGGACATTTCCAGGATGGATAATCCGTAGTACTTGGGTATCTGAGCTTGAACTTGAACTTGAGCAATAAGTTAAATATTTTCACTAAGGTCATCAATATACATTAAAAAAAATCTTAAGAAATATGCCATTCTGAACCAGGCACAGTGGCATATGCTTATAATTCCAATTTCTCAGGAGGCCAAGGCAGGAGGACTGCAAGTATGAGACAAGTCTGGGGAACTTAGCAAAACCCCATCTTTTTAAAAAAGGAAAGAAAAGAAATAAAAGAAAAATACACTGAACATTTTTGCCTTTTTGTTGCTATTATTTTTCACATTTTTTAATGAAATGAAGTTTTGAACGGTTAGTAAAAAGATCCAAAATGGAAAGACTTATACAAGACAATGGCCAAAGGGGCAAAACTTTACTAAGAGGCAACATTTCACTGGGACCGGAAATAGGAAATTCCTTCTGACCTCACCTGGGCTTGACTGGCTTTAATAAGTAACTAGCTGTTGGCTCCTGACTCTAGCAACTGCCCTGTAAGGAAGACAGCGAAAAGGGGGAGAAAAGCAAGATGACTTAAAAAAAAAGAAAGAAAGAAAAGTTTAAATGGCATAAGACTGAAATTCAAATCAGCAGTTTCAGGATCCAAATTAAGATCCTTTCTACAAGAAACACATCTCCATTTCCTTTCTGCAAACGAAGGCAGGAACTGAAGGGGAAGGCAAGAGCACTCTTCTATCCATGTACTCACTCTCCTAGCTACCTGGGGCACCTCACTATGGGTGACAGCACTGGAAGGTTAGTCAGACCCATCTGACACCAACATCTACACCAAACTTTTTCAACTTCCTTGGAAGAACTAGTTTCTTTATTTTCATAAAGAAAATAATCGACATAATTCTTTTACTTCGTATAAGCACAACCGTCCTGGAAAGGCTCCTCAGCCATCAGCTGCAGCAAGCTAGATTAGCTGTGTCTTACTTTTACTCTCACACAATCAACTTTAATGAATGAACCAAGTAATCAGACCAGTAAAAAAGACTGGTAGCATAATTAAATAAATAACTTTATTTATGATACTTCAGATTTTATAAATGCCAACTATATAGCAACCAAGGTCCCACAAATTCTAACTGAGGCACAACCACCAATCAAGGCCCTTTGAAAAATCAAAGATAATAGTTTCAGGGGAGAGAAGTTTTGTTTTCCCAAAAGAGAGTTTAACAAATGAACTTACTTCCCCGATCCTTTAGGTTCACAATGGGAAAACTTAACTTTCTTTTAAGGGCATCCCCAGTCAATGAACTGATCAGTCAACCCATATTTATAAAAATAAACCCCATAGTTAAGAAAAATATATCAAATGCCCTTCATACCCAGAATGTAATAAAACTTTGACACCAGAATGATAAATCTCTCAGCCAGTCCGATGTTAAGTCTACCCATGAGGCAGTTCATCAAGTCCACCTGAACAGCAGCATATACACACCATAGCGAAGAATGACAAGCTAATGTCCTCCTTCCCTGTGGCACAGTCTGAAGATGATATAAACATCATGGTAAATTTCAATGGGGAAGAGCAGCAGCCTTCTCTCGGTAAGGAGTGTATATGTTAGAAGTCTTTAAACTACCTGGTAGTTCAGTAAGATACGTAATGAATTTATAGAAACTGAGAAATGGTTAATCTGGGAAAGAATTCTGGTGAGTAGTTTACATTTCTGTCACTGTCCAGGGATGGTAATAGAAGATAGGTGCAGTTAGACAGATTCTGTCACAGGCACCTTTGACAGTGAAATCATTCTCTGGATGTCTGGAAAAGCTTAAGAGATTTGGAATGAATAGATTTTCACAGAACACAGAATTCCTGACACATCAGGCAGTAGTTGTTAAACTTTTGCTCCTAAGTTGTGGAGCATTTACAAAAGGATTATCTGGATAGTGACTTCTGAATGTCTTTTTGTATTTTGTTTGTCGAATAAATCTCACTGAAAATTGAGCAGTGCCCCTGCCTCCAGTTACCAGTGTTAATGCTGACATAATAGGGAAAAATTGGGGGTGTTACAGACATTGGCTATTAGTTTCTCTCTTTCATCATGGTAGAATTAAGGTTTCATTATTTTATAGTAGTAGTTGTAGATTTCATTATCTTGTAGTGGAAGAAAAAAACCCAAAAAAGTAAAGCAATTTACTTAAAAAAAAAAAAAAAAAAAAAGGTCTGTCATTCTCAATGTTTTTCCAGCAATATAGTCAGTGTACTCAGAATTTTAAAAAAGAAAACACAAAAGCTTTTTTGCTGTGTTCTCCATTTCAGACAACCTCAAACATGCTGTTGTTGGCTTATCAGCATCTCAAAAGAGTCTGTGAAAAAATGGAGTTTTCCTTGAATATATATAAAAAAAAACTGGGGACAGAGATAGGAATCTATAGCCCAGATTATCAAGGAAAGACTTGTGATTTCTCATCTTGAGTGTTAGATAAAAGAACAAGAATTATTTTTATTCACAACCTAATCAGGTGGCTGAAAGAAAAGCAGTCTTTGGACGCAGAGAAACCTGGCATTTTGAAGAATCCAGCCGTAAGATCTGGCTTGTCCTCAGGATTCAGCACTGTCACTTGAAGCACGGAAGTTCTGTTTTTGATTGGTTTACTTACCTCGTAGGGAGACAAAAGCAACTAAATCTCCCCTTCTTTTTTTTTTTTTTAAACTAAAAAATGGGGAAATGTGTCTTAGAAAAGATAGCACAGAAAAATCTGTGGCTTTAGTACGACCTGACCATGTCACAGAGCCATACTATTAGTTTGAATTCATCTGGTGGTCAGATTAATTGTCAGGATGGTCAACTTCTTCCTACTTTTCCTTATTCCAGATCAGGGCGTGAAAGTGGTGGTCGTCAAGAGTCCATGGAGATGTCCATCAATGGAAAGCATACAGCAGCAATAGGATGGTGCAGACACCAATCACACCACCTAGGATGAGGGAGTCTCGCCGCTTCCTAAGATTGATCCTCTGGATCAGGCTGTTCACAGCAGGAAAACGATCTTTGGGAAATCTTTATTAAGGTCATATTTGAAAGAAGTCTCTTTGCTGAAAAGTCACAGGAATTAAAAGAATAGCCATGAGTGGAGTCCAGAAAGAAGAAATGATGAGAGGAAACAAGGGGGAATCATACTCAGGGAGACTTTAGCAAACACATATTCCAAAAATGAAATAAAGGCGCTAAGCACCTCAGTGAGACCCTGTCTCTAAATAAAATAGAAAATAGGAGCGGGGAAGTGGCTCAGTGGTCGAGTGCCCTGGAGTTCAATCCCTGGTACCAACAACAATAACAAAAGGTCGGGGGAGTACAGTACTGCCAGTCTTATATCTAACATACAAATGAGAATAATAAAAAGAAAGAAAATAATGATGACTGTTCTCGTATACAATGGGATTACTGCCAAGCTTCAGGTCAGGGTGGGAGCTAGTATGGAGGAGCTACCACCTCCCCTCCCTCATCCCACTCCCCACTTTTTCTCTCTCCTGTTGCACCCCGCTGTCTTCTTTCAGGAGATTGGGAAGTTCTGCTTGTGGATTTTGAAGAAAACCTGATCCTTTCTCCATAGAGAAATAACTATTCTTGCATTCAAGCAGCTGATTGAAGCCAATCTTGGGGTCTATATAATTAGGTATTGGTAAATTATTTAAAATTTACTTTACAGCAATATAGGCAGAAAATGGGTTAAAATGCTCTTGTCTATTTAGAGAACATTAAGAAAGATGAGAAATTTTCAATTTGGGGGGTTTTATAATAGTTATAATTATATTTTACTTAGTATTTCAACTTATCGTCATACTCTTACTTGTTTGTATGTTGTTGACCAAAGCGCCCAAACTGTTTTGTATTTCTGGCAATGGTTTCTGACAATACAGAGGAATCCTCTTTGTTTATCAGAGGTATTATATCAAGTTCAGGAAAACCAATGACACAACCCACCAAGGATACTAGAGATCTGGAATAATCCCCGCTCCTTGAGAGTCTTTACTGTGTTTTTCTGTAACAAAATGACTCTGATCATGGATTACATTTGTGTACATATATAGTCTACATGCTATATGATCATGTCTTCTAATCCTGAAATTTCTTCAGTGTATACTATAGGCATTAATGTATTTTTGAATTAAAGAAAAAATACAATTGGAAGAAATGGTTTTAAAGATGTATAAAAGGAAACATGTACTGAAGTCATAAAATCTTTTTTACAAGGTAAAAAATTTCAGAGAGAAAAATGCTTAATTTTTTTTTTTTAGTTAAATAATGATAAACAAATCCATTGAGATTATGGTAAATTTTTGATTTCAGGAAACTATCTATAGTAGACATAGTTTTTCCCAGTTTACCTTTAGAAATCACCCCTCTTTCCTATAATAATCTAGTTCAGTGCATGTAATAAGGTGGGGCTGACCCTGCCCTCTGCCATCAAGAGTACATATAATGTTGGGTGCAGTGGCACACGCCTGTAATCCCAGCGGCTCAGGAGGCTGTGAGGGAGGAGGATCATGGGTTCAAAGCCAGCCTCAGCAATAGCGAGGCGCTAAGCAACTCAGTGAGATCCTGTCTCTAAATAAAATACAAAATAGGGCTGGAGAAGGGGCTCAGTGGTCAAATGCCCCCGAGTTCAATCCCTGGTACCACCACCAAAAACAACAAAAGTCAGATGAGTGCATACAAACTCAGAATTGGTAAGACAATCCCTTCCCTTGGCCAATGACTGGGTTAGGAAAGGGCAGTAATTCAAGCTGGGGCAACCACAGTCCTCATTGGGACTTTTGTGACAGCTGTTAGAAAGGACATTATTTTCCCCAATCTTTTGATTTGGTGTTAAGAGTCATCTCTATCATCATAGGGAAATGCCTGCCTGAGAGTAATTTTATCCATTATATTAGGAGGCTAAGGAGGACTTAAATAAACCCAACTACAAAAAATCCTGGCATATTAACAGAAGAAGGCTGAGTTATGAGAGGAGAAGGGAAGGTAAAAAAAAGAGAGAAAATAAAATCTGAGCTTGTGAATCCAGCATGTCTGAAACCAAACTCTATCTCTGGAATTTATAGTTAATAATTTATAGTTAATTCCCCTCTTTTCTCTTTAAGTCAGTCTGAATTAGGTTTCTGTTGCTACTCTACGGTGTCCTGACAACTCACGCCATTTTGTTTGATTGTTTTTTTGCTATTCTAGAATGAAGTATAAAATTCCTGGGTTGCTCATCTGTACCAGACACTATTCTGGGCTGTGGGATACTTTATTGTCTTAAGAGAACTTAGGGTCCAATAGAGAAAAAAGACATTCAGACTAGAGAAGAAGGCATGAAGAACAATGGGGACAAATTCTAATGGACAATTTAGACAGGTTTTAGTGAGTATTACAAGTAATCCAACTATCCAACCTCCACTTCCATTTAAAAGTTTCAGTGGTTTCACCCAAAACAAACTTACTTATTGACAACCAAGTTCATCGTTTAAGAAGGACACTAGGGCTGAGTGTGGTAGCTCATGCCTATAATCCCAGCAACTCAAGAAGTGGACATAGGAAGATCTGAAGCTCGAGGCCAGCCTTGGTAACTTAGCAAGGCCCTAAGTAACTTAGTGATACCTGGTCTCAATATAAAAAATAAGGGCTGGGGATATGGCTCTATGGTAAAATGCCCCTGGGTTCAATCTCTAGTACCCCCCAACCCCCCCAAAAAAGGACACCAGGATTTCACGGAAAATGCAATGGGAACTTAAAATTTGAATCTCTAATTTGTTCTTTACTAACTGTAGACCTGAGCCAAGCTACTTTTCTAAGCCTAATTCTTCATTTGCAAAACAATAATAATTTCTGCATTTTCTCTTTTATGCTGATGATAAAATAAAATAATGCATGTAACAGTATATAGCATCATATAAATAATAAACAATTTTGAATGTGCAGTTTATGCTAGGGTAACAAGAAAAAAATCCAATGAAGATTGGAAAGTAACAATAAACTCTAAGATATCCTTTTCCTTAAGCAAATAAGTATTCATGATCTTAAATAGGTAGAAGTGACCTTGAATTATCTAGGACTAGAATATACTCAACCTTTGAAAATTACAGGTCTTCTCCACAATTTTTGGAAAAGAAAGATTTTTTTCCCTAAGGCTTGTCTTCTCTGAGAGTAAGTAAAGCACTTCTAAGTGGTAGGCTTCTCAGTTTCCCTACTGGGCTTCTTGGAAGTATAATTAACAATCTGAATTTAAATTGGGAAACTGAATAATTTAAGAAGTAGAGGTCACAATAAATAAGTTGGGCACTTATCCTGGAATTCAACTTGTGCATGCAGAGTCACAACACTTCTATCAGCAGTTACAACTCATCTGAGTATATGGCTATCTTCTTCTAAGCATCTAACACTGACTCATTCTCCAAACTGGATTAAAAAAATATAATTTATGATGTTTAGATAATAATAGTGTATATTATGGAGTCCTACCATAGATTCAGTACATTTAAATGTAAAGATAATTTTGTGAACAATTTTAAAATTCAGGTTTTTTTCCCCCTAAATTTACTAGCACTAAACCCAGGTGATACTTTCAGCATGAACTTTCACAAATTAGAACTTATTTGTCCTATGTAATTACTGAGAGGCTCTATTGATGTCAGTTACCTCCCACTGCCCACCTGCAAAAAAAAAAGAATAGGTATACTCTTCCGTCCACCCCACAAAGCAGAGTTCAAACTTTCAAAAAGGATACTGGCCAAAGTGTTCATTTTGCTGTGAATTGACTTTAACATTCCTCTCTGTGAAGTCATATTTTCTTTCGTTGCCATAGCAATGCTTTAAGGAGGGAAAAAAGAAACAATTAAATTGGCATTTAATGTTACTGTGCATAGATTCATCACACCCCTAACAGTGAATAGGAAACTTTGGTGAACAACATCATCACTCAAAGCAGCAAGTGGGAAAAGCACTTCCCCAAACCACTTTCCATTGTCCTTTTTCTGAATGACCCCACTGCAATCCAATGATGTCTTTTTGTGTAAGGCAGCAAGTCATTTCTTCAAAGTAACAAATGAAGTAAGATATTAACAAATCACATAAAGCTTCTTAAAATAGTTTTGAATGGATCCAACTGCTAAAATATTCTTAATCAGGAAAAACTGTTGAGAGGGAAGCAGAGAATTACAACCATAAAATAGAACTCAAAGCACATATTTATATACAACCAGCCCTCAAGTTATGCACAAATTATTTCCAAATTCTACTTGAGAAACACTAGGCAGACTTTGGGACATACAAGCAACATTATGCTGGGTTTCACACCAGCTGACAAAGGTCACAGATTGACTATGACTGAAAGAAGGGCAAAAGCCACTCTTTGTAAATTGTATCTCTTCCACGTGACTACTTTGATGTACTATTTAAAAGAATCCGAGTTAAGCTGGGTGTGGTGGTGCATGCCTGTGATCCCAGCAACTCAGGAGGCTGAAACAGGAAGATCAAGAGTTCAAAGCCAGCCTCAAGCAAAAGCAAGGTGCTAAGCAACTCAGTGAGACCCTGTCTCTAAAAAAAAAAAAAATACAAAATGGCCTGGGGATGGAGCTCAGTGGTTGACTACCCTGAGTTCAATTCCTAGTACAAAAAAAAAAAAATCAAAGTTAATATTTTTTCGCTAGCACTTCCAGGATTACTTTTCTGTCTTATATGCATGCACATTAGAATTCTAGAGGGCAAGGTGGGTATCCATTTCGATATGTAATACACAGGTGAATGCTTTAGATACTGACATTATCAAAAGCTATAGGAAATGGAATACTGTGAAGCAATTCTGAAAATATCCGAAACATTAAAAAACAGAAAGTAAAAAAGAACAAAGACTGAGATTCTGGGAAGATGGCAGAGTACAAATTCCTGATCCCATCTCCTATCCATCTTCCTCCATGAAATACACTAAAACAAAAGCAGACATGCTAGGAAGAGTCCATCTCGGGCCCCAAGTTGCCTTGAGATCTCCAGGGCAGAAAGCCAGGTGGAGGGCGATACTTTCTCAAGTGAGGAGAGAACTAAGGAAGCAATGGCAGGGAAACCTAGATTTTTCTTCGATCCTTGTACAAAGACTCAGGTTTCTTTGCTTCTTAAGGAACCTAGACAGTAAAGACTACAGTTCTGCACATACAGGGGCTGCAGGGATGGACTGAATTGCTCCTAGTTCCTGTATGTTGAGAGCCACAGCCGAAGGGGCCCCAGCAAACTTCCAGCTGCCAGCAAACTTCCAGCTGCCGGCTGACGATTGGCTCACAGCAGCCCCAACAACATCTAGCTGATTGGCTCCTCTGCGGTGATGCTCATTGGACTGTTTCCCTGCCCTTTCAGACCACGGAGCTGCTCATTGGGGGACTTTTTTGGCTCCGCCCACGTGACCCAGCCAATCGGCCTCAAGAGCAGGAGGATTGTGGGAGGTGGGGAGAAGCTTGTGGGGGAGAGAGAGGCTTGGGGAAAGCCGGTGGTGGCAGTTGAGGCTCTGAGGGTTTTTTCCTGAGAGACTATTTTGTTTGTCGTGTGTGGTTCTAAAAATAAAGTTAGTTTCTTTTGACAAGTGGCTCCTGATTGTGCCCAGCCAGACTGCGGCATTTGGTGGCTCGCACGGGGAGCGACTGAGGGTAAGTGAAACTGCTGGCCCCTGAGGGCAGGGCGAGAGGATGGGTAGCCATTTTAAGATTCCTCTTTTATTTTGCTTCACTTTTGTTTTAAGTTGCCTGTCCCTGGAGATGAGTGAGACGGAAGAAAAACCGCTCACATCTGAGGAAAAACTATTTACGTCTGAGGAACAGATAGGGAGAAAGGACGGATGCACATGTCAGGAGGATAGAAAGGCTATAATGACTTTTTGTTGTTCCCTTTTTATTTCATTCTGTCTCGGTTTTGTTTGGCGTCATGTTCAAGTTGTTAATGGATTCGACCAAGCTTACAGTGAAGGGTGCTTGAGGACCATAGGTTGTTACAGCCTCTTTTAGCTGCTTCACTGTTTTGAAATTTAAAACTTGGTAAAATCGCTGCCCTCCTGCCTCAAATACAGGGCATGTTAATATTTGAGACCTTGTCTCAGGATCCCAACTATCAACTGCGGGGGTTGGGGGCCTCCCAGCATATGGAGGTGGCGCTGTTGGTTGGACACTTACACCCTCTGGTGATAGAAAGGTGTTAGTAGCAGTCTCCTGTTGTAACTTTCCCCCTGATGGCTTTTTCTGTTTTACACTTTCTTTCTCTGTCTGACTAGCTTGAGAGGCCTTCTCTTTTACTTGAATCTTTTCCTCTGTCTGACTAACTTGAGAGACCTTCTCTTTTACTTGAATCATTATGTCTTCTCCTTCCTCTACCATTGTCTGAACTGAAGGCTTTGGACTAAGCAAACAAGATACGAATGTCCACAATGGCAATGTGCCAACTGGCAGAGTCCCTGGGCTTTTCTTTTCTATTCTTTTTAAATCTTCACCATGATGGTTCCATTGTGATATATTCAACAACTCCTCCTTAAAAAGCCATGGGCTACATTTTTGTATTGTATCAACGTATGCCCTGACTGCTCTTGATTTTACTGGGATGCCTCCTTCCTCTAACAATTTACTTAACACTCTTTCAGTTTGTTTTTTACTAATTTCTGATCCCATATTTCTACTATAATACAACCCAACAAGATGACGCCAAACAAATGTTAATGTTTTGCTGATCAGTTCTATTTTTTGACTATAGAGTTTTTAAGCATTGCAATGGAGATTTCACCTGTAAAAAGTTATAAGGCCTTTACTATAATGTTATGTGTTGTATGTATTATATTATGTGTGCACACTTGTGTTTTGTGTTATATGTTTGAATGTATGTATGTCCATATATCATATATGATGAGCGCTCATGATAAAATGGATCCAAATATTTTTTTTTCACGTGATTTATATGGTTTAATTTAAATTGGGTAAACAACTGTTGAGGATTGTTTTAATATGTAAACAAAAAAGAAGGTTAACAGATCTGTTTACTTTCACCTTTCCTTTTCATTATATTTAATAATTCTCTTAAAGATAATGTAAATTGTTAAGAAAATTGTTTTCTTTTAGTGCCTTCTGTAGTGTTACATAATTTTTTCTTTAGCCATTATTGCCAGAATTCCTATCTTCATCCCAGTGCCGGTGAAGACAATGTAAATTGTTAAGAAAATTGTTTTCTTTTAGTGCCTTCTGGAATGTTACATAATTTTTTCTTTAGCCATTATTGCCAGAATTCCTATCTTCATCCCAGTGCTGGTGAAGTGAAAGATAAAACCAATCTACAGCTTCTACAATAGCCATCACTGAACTGCTTGCAGAACTTGCCTGGACACATTGTGAGCTCACCTGTATGCATTGTGAACTATCTGTTGGTACAGCGAATTGTGGTAGTGCTGGAGTATTTTTGCTGATGGTGTCACCGGTGGTACAATTTAGGAGCCCTCAATTGGCTTAATGTCATGGCATTTTGCATCCTCCTCTACTAGTGATGGTCTAAAATTTGGGGGCCAACAGAGGTGAGGCAAAGAACCTCACCCCCCCACAGGTGCAAAGGCCTATCCACAAGTATGGCTGTATGCTGGACCGGTAGTCAGTGACGGGTATGATCCAATTGCAGTGGTACCAACCTAAGACAGGAGGCTGACGCCTAGAGGTCAGTTCATCCGATGACGGGTAAGGACCATATGTTGAATTGGACTGCCTAACAGGCACGGTCCCTAATCCACATGCTTGTTGTTTAAACAGAGAGGGGGAGATGTTGAGAGCCACAGCCGAAGGGGCCCCAGCAAACTTCCAGCTGCCAGCAAACTTCCAGCTGCCGGCTGACGATTGGCTCACAGCAGCCCCAACAACATCTAGCTGATTGGCTCCTCTGCGGTGATGCTCATTGGACTGTTTCCCTGCCCTTTCAGACCACGGAGCTGCTCATTGGGGGACTTTTTTGGCTCCGCCCACGTGACCCAGCCAATCGGCCTCAAGAGCAGGAGGATTGTGGGAGGTGGGGAGAAGCTTGTGGGGGAGAGAGAGGCTTGGGGAAAGCCGGTGGTGGCAGTTGAGGCTCTGAGGGTTTTTTCCTGAGAGACTATTTTGTTTGTCGTGTGTGGTTCTAAAAATAAAGTTAGTTTCTTTTGACAAGTGGCTCCTGATTGTGCCCAGCCAGACTGCGGCACCTGTAGTTGGGAAAGCAGTGCTATCCACAGAGACAGACTTATAAGCAGACAGCATACAGCCTAACAGCTGGTGAGATGCTCAGCCCTAAGGGATATACTGCTAAGCCTTCCATCACCAGCTGGATGCCACTGCTTAGGTCTCTAATGGCCTGGTCTATCCAAGAGCTGATGAACACATTTTTAGGCAGTGGAACCAAGTGAAACCTCAGAGAATAGACTACCAGGTGTCTTTTTTTTTTTTTTCTTTTCTGTACCAGGGATTGAACCCAGGGGAGTTTAACCACTGAGCAATATCCCCAGGCTTTTTTATTTTTATTTTATTTTTTAGTTGTAGATGGACACAATACCTTATTTACTTATATGTTTTTTTTTAATGAGGTGATGAGGATCGAACACAGTGCCTCAAACATGTTAGGCAAGTGCTCTATTACTGAGCCATAATCCTCAGCCTCTTGAGTCGCTGGGATTACAGGTATGTGCTACCACACCTGTCTACCAGGTATCTTATTAAAGTGAGATACTAGAGGGAGTACTCTACACAAATGACATATGAACCAAAACTTTAATTTCAAGATTAGAGAAGGCAAAAAACAAACAAAACTGTGTAAAGAGATTTACTGAAGTA